GGAAACCGTAATGTCCTAGAAGAAAACATATGGGAAAAGCTCCCCGACATCTGCATTGGTAATAATTTGGGGGGGATTTTACACAAAAAGCAAATGCAACAAAAGCACAAATAAAGAGGTTGGACTATATTAAAAAATCAACTTTTGCACAGAAAAGAAAACAGTAAACAAAATAAAAAGGCAATCTGTGGAATGGGAGAAAATATTTGCAATATTTTTGCAAAATATTTATATATATATTTAAATATATGTGTATATAGATAGACGGTTAATGTCCAAAATGGATGGAGAACTCATTCAACTCAATAGCAAAAAATAATTTTTAAAGCAGCCCTCTCTTCTACTACCCACAAATTGTAAATATCCCAAATGTCAACAGGTGGTAGGTAAGCAAACTGTGCCGTACAAATAGGATGGAATTCCGACCAGCATTATATAAAATAGCAAACTTCTGATACGTGTTGAATCCGGACACGAGAAGGGTAAGTACCCTGCGGATTCCATGTGTATGAAATTCAGAAACCGGCAAAGCTGATAAGCGGCGAGACGACAGAGGGTGTTTGCCTTTGGAGGTAGAAGACTTTACTGGGAAAAGACACACAGTGCTTTTATTTGGAAAAGAAAATGCTCTTTTTTTTGTTTTAATTTAAATACATATTTTTAATTTTTCAATTATAGTTAACATACAGTATTATGTAAGTTTCAGGCACACAACGTAGTGATTAGACATGTATTTAGCCGACAACGTGATCACCCTGATAAGCCCAGTACCCACCCGGCACCTTACACAGTTATTACCATATTACTGACTGTTTCCCCTGTGCTGTCCTTACAGCCCCGAGACCACTTTGCAGCTGCCGATTGGTATTCCTCAATCCCTCCGCCTTTCGCACCCAGCCCCCTAACTCCCTCCCACCTGGCAACCATCGAAACGCTGTCTGTGTCTATGAATTTGTTTCTGCTTTGTTTTGGTTTTTCAGATTCCACATGTAAGTGAAATCATATGGTATCTGTCTGACTACTTTCACTTAGCATCACACCCTCTAGATCCATCCATGTTGTCCCAAACGGTAAGAGTTCATCATTTTTTATGGCCGAGTAGTATTCCACTGCGGAGACCCGCCACTTCTTCAATCGCCTGCTGACGGGCAGTTAGGCCGCTTCCTGACCTCGGCTGTTGTCAGCAATGCTGCAGTGAACGTAAGGATGCACGTGTCCTTTCAAATTAGGGTTTTGGGGGACTGTTTTGGATAAAGACCAAGAAAATGTTCTTTATCTCGCTTTGAGAGATGGGAACCGGTGACACAGCTTCTGCAACACAATCATGTGGATCCACGCGTTTCAGTGTATGTTAATTACACCTAAACATTTTAAAGGCTCTGGCAGACCTGGCAATAATGGCCAATGCCCGCTCTTGGCAACCGCAGACCAGGCTTCGGTTCCAGGGGCCGGCTGCCAGGCCTGCAACAAGGTAATTACCCCCCTTGGCCTCGATGTCTTCACCTGTAAAATGGGGTCAAATACCTGTGGACTTGGCGAGACACATGCAGTGTCTGCAAACATTTTAGGATTGTGTTTGACCAAATAATAACTGTTCAACAGACAGTAGTTACACTGTTTAAACGAACCCCTTGCAATTCTTCCAAACGCCTTGTGCTTTGTTTTTTAGCACTCAGTCTATCTGGGAAACACTCGGGAATCTCCACCTCTCAGCCAGCATCACACCCCCATGCTCCAAACAGAAGGGCGTATCTGGTTATTGGCATGAACTGTGACCAACGTGAGTTTTCAACAATGCAAACAGCAACACTTTGTTGCACTAAAAACACTGTACGAATGTCCTGACGGGTGTGTTAAGATCTGGGGTCTGAATTTTCTCTCTCGTCCTACACCCAGGGCAGCATCAGGCACCAAATAGATCCTTAATAAAAGGCATTTCATAAATAAATAATTTTGGACTCTGTGAAAATTGTGAACTGACTGCAGTTGGTACACACTCCTAAGTATGTGCACCAAGTCTAACAGCCACAGGGCACGGAAGGCGGGCAGTCTCGGTGCTAATTTTACACTTTCATTCACTAGCTCGTTGCTGACCACTCAGGACGAGCTGGGTACAGAGGGAGCAAAAGGCGGCTCCAGGCCGCGGGGAGGCTCCCTTCTTGTGATGATACAGATAATAAACAAACCCACCGGTTCTCCGCACACCCTGCTCAGTGGTTTCCTACTTGCTTATGCCGTCTTCCTCTCCCTGTTTTCTGGATGGCATGTTACCCTCTTGTGATGCACTTGTGCGCATACCCGAAGCCCTCTCTCACCAGGAGACAGACAGACACACGTGTTCTACGGATGTCCTGTGCCTCTCTGCCTTCTGTTTTCCACTCACCTTGGGTTTCGAAGCTGTCTCGTGGCGAAGCGAGAAGGAATTTTGACGCCCTCGGTTCAGAGGTGTGGGGAGAAAGGGCATGTACACAAAGGGGCGGTGGGGGCTTCGGAGACAAGATGACGCGAGGAGGAGGGGTTGGGGCACCTACTTAGAACGCGTGGCCCCAATTTCCCACTGGGCTCGGGAGCATGGGCGTTGGCTGGTATTAAATCAGTCAGTCTTCACAGAGGGGCTGTGTCACCTGGGTCCTCAGGTGAGTTTCACCCTTTCACATAACGGGTTCGAGGGGGGTGGACACTGGGTACCAGTGCTCTTCACTGAGCCCCAGCATCAGGGAAAGCAGCGGGGCCCGACTGGTGGCCATTTACTGCGTGAGATGACCCTCCGTCTGGTGTGCTAGAGGTTAAATTTGCCATAATGCTGAAAAAGAAATACGTTAGCAGAAGAACTTCATCTCCGAGGAATTTAAATTAGAGGAGGAAAGGTAGGCTTTAGACAGAGGAGACATGTCATAGGCTGCGACTGACGTGGAGACCTGGACCGACCTCCCCAAAGCATCCGTGTCCAGTGACTGCCGTGGGGCAGAGTTGGTGACGGGGACGTGAGGGTTATGTCTAGGCCTGGCCACTGCACTGGGGTGGCTCCAAGCCCCATCAAAGGAACAAGTCCTATGTGGACTATTAACCCACCAGAGGGACCCGGACACCATGAAGCCTGAGGTCCCCATTCTGTGGAAGCGGCTTTCTGGGGACACGGGAGTGACCCAGGCCGGGGCAGCATGAAGGACCTGGGGTACCGAGCCCGGCGTGGCACCCCGCCGGCTGCCCTTACGGCCACTGACGCCTCCTTCCCAACGCCTCTCACTGCCCAAGGCCACGGCCACGGTGGGAGCGCGCCCGCTGTCCCCGGGACGCAGC